GCCACCTACGTTGGTATGGAGTATTTCTAACCTCCTACTCCTGTGTGTGTGTGTGTGTGTTTGTCAGCAAGATTGCTCAACTGGCTGGATGGATTTGGATGAAAGTTTTATGTATATTGACTATGACCCAACTTGAAAGTGATCTAGTTTTTGTAGGGTAAAGGTCACGAAAAAAAAATTCATATTTGTTAACATGGTGGCTAATTTTTTACATTATTTTTGCTCAGTGACTCAGTCAAAAATGATTGGATTTTGATAAGTTGGTGGACATGTGTAGAATATTTTCTCATTCTCCTGCCAGAAATGGTTTGTCCACTGTTAATGACTGACATAGGGCCACATCCTCGTATGTCTTCAGAGCATGGTAGAGGTACACACTCTACTGAATGTCCTTCTAGTTAAATATCTATGTATTTATATACTGTGCAAGTCCTAACATCTGAAGGGAATTTAAAAAATTGTAATTGTGAAAGCTTGTTCTTTTTAGTGTAAGAAGTAAATAATAAAATGTTTTTCATGCTTTACTCTGTGTGTGTGTGTGTGTGTGTGTGTGTGTCTTTCAACAAACTGGGGAGGGGGGAATCATAGGTGCTGAAATGAAATTTCACAGAAAAGTTTGTAAATGGTGTGTTGTTTGATATCTCCAATGTTGTATGTTTGTTATAAGAACATTAAAATAAAACTTTTTCTATTTCTAATCTTGCAGGAATAGTTGTATTGTTTCCATAAGAAAAAAAAAAATAGCAATAGAAATGCAGTGAAAATTGTACTTTTTTTTTCGAAAGGGAAATAATGCTGTTTGCTAGCGTGCTCGTTTATTAACTCTAATTATGTACATCAGTCACATCAGTTTGTCTCCTATAAAATAATGGCTCTATTAAAAGTACAGATAAATTGACTTTATTGTCATGAAAATAATCAACTATCAAAATCAGTTTTTCCAACTTGGAATAAAACAATAGCAACTATTCAAGTAATCAATTTTGGCATTATGATTTCCCAACTTCAGTTAATTCAAGGTTGTTTAGCTTAATCAGTTGGAGTCTTTATTCCATCTATTAGTCTCATTTAAAAAAAAAAAATTGATTAGTTAATTGTAATAGAGTAATGATCACAATGACTAATAATTAGCAAAATCAACTAATTGTTTGGCTTTTCTGCTTGCACTAGTGACCTACATACCTCGTCATAATACAAATTGAGTTCGATACTAGAATGATAAATTTTTTCTTTTTTTTTCTTTTCTGTAAATTACTTCACAAAACCTTTGAGTCCAAGTTATCATTATTAGATTGAGACTTTGGGAAATTTAAATTATTTATAAGAATACTTTCCTTTATGTGTGTGTTTTTTGAAGTTATGGACTTCTATTCTCCATATAAAATAAAAAATACTCATTTGATTTATTCCTTTCACTTAGCTTAGTTTTTCTCCACACATTTCCTTACAATTAATGAAGTTTTTAAGGCACAGGTAGCAAAGTACTTTTTGATTTTTTTCTTAAAATTGGTACATTTGTTATTATTTAATTTTGATATGTGCATGGGATGTATTTATAAAAATATTTTTGTATAGGTATTGTTTGTTTCAACTTTGTGGTACTATTAACACTATAGTTGAGAAATAACCCTATGTATAAGAAGGAACATATGAATGTACATGTATACAGGATTCTAGAAATACTTTTCTTAGCCTTCTGTAAATGACTCATACTTGTATCCAGAAAAGTGCAATGTTGTCAGTGCATTTCAACTGGTTTCTATCAATTTTCTTGCAAGGTTTTTTATGAATATTACTTACAAAGACAATGTACAGGTACAAATATCCCTTAGTTAAAAAAAAAAATAGTTTAGTTACTACTTGTGTTAAAAATGACTTTCAAATTATGTGGAAAGTCCAGTGATAAAGCTGTTCTTGAGAAGCAACAGGACGTGTACAGGTATCAGGATGTATTATTCTTAACTCCCATGTAGTTGTAGTGGATCATAAGTTTTGTGAATCATTCAGTGACTAGGTGACCTGATTGTTAATACTGCTTATTATTTCAACTCGTATAATTGAATTCATTCTAGTTGTTACTTAAATAAGCTTTACAAAATGTAGATAATAAATTTTGCTTGGTGTTTTGTATCTGGCTAAGCATGTGTTGTTGTATTTTCTTTTGTAACATCTGATTTTAAAACTCTTTACTAGAATGTGTAATTCATCTGCTTCACTTGCCATCAGTAAATTTATTTGGACATGTTCCAGGCCTGTGAAAAAGTGTTAAATTTCATGCTCTATTAAGAGATTTTGTTGGTTTTTATGTCCAATATTCATTGATAGGTTTAAGTGTAGTGAAACTAGAGCTTGTATTGAATTACCTATTTCACCTTCTTGATAAGGCTGGCACATCTCTGGTGAAATAAATTTGACAGATAAATATTAAAATATTTTATATAGAAAAGTTGTTATAATTCCTTTCAATTGGTATTGATTGGGAGTAAATGTTAATCTATTTACTATGAATACAACATAATTAGTGGTTTTATGTACATTTAATTTTAAAATTTAAACTCTTGTATTAGTATATCTTGTTATTCATTGTTATTCTTAAAGATGTATAAATGATTATTTTTAGTCAATTTTTTTAAGCATTACCATTGTTTATTTTTCTAACTTTTAGTTTTTATATTGATGAGTAGTCTGTAGTACTATGAAACTCAGTAAATAAAGCTTGATCCAAAAAAATAAAAATTCTTATTCATTTTGATGTGAAACTACCTTGAATTACATTTATATAAGTAATTAAAAACTCATCTGATGTATTCCTTTCACTTTATATAGGTGAGGAAGCTGTAGTTATTCTGCATTTGTAAGACACTTAGTCTTAACTTGTAACACATGCTAAAAAAACGGACTCATTTGTGTTAATTGGTGGAATCAAACTGACTTGTGAACTCTTAACTTGGAAATCCATGTACATTTTGTGATTCATGTTGATGTCCTTTTTGATATCTTTTATTAGTGTAATGTACCTATCTCAAAACTTTATCTGCGTGGATTGGGTGGTTTCTTACTCAGAAACAAGTTTAAAAGGACATTGAAGCACATGTATGAATATTGTGTGCTGTTGAGGTTAACCCCATTATAAACAAGAATTTTTGTTTATTTTGGATTTTTTTTTTTTTAAGTGACATGTACTAAATGAAATATCTTAACTAGTTTACAATCTCAAATTAATATGTTTCAAACAGGGCTTGAATCCTTGAACTAATTTAAGAAACTAGTTAGAAATACAAGGTACAATATACAGGGATACTGTGATATTTTTTTTTCACATGAACATCACCTTGCACCGACTTATCAGATTCAGGATTTCTTGATTCATGATATCTTTAGCATAAATACTTTATCAACACCAGGATTTCTTCCTTCTCTTCTGTTTTTCATTTTTATACAACAAACTTGTATGTTTTATTAAAAGTTTGCCATATTACATAAAGATGCAGGTAGTAAAGTTGGAATTGTAGTCAACATTACTTCTCTAATATGGGGTTGGCCTATTGTACAGACCCCATGCACATTTAGTTAGTAATCAAATTGTTGTTACCGTTTAGGTTTATGGGTTTTTTTATCTGCTTCTACCAACTTTATGACACATTTGCCATGTAAACTAAAGTAAGGGGATTTTCTAACAATGAAATCCTTTATTTATATTAAATTCCCCATTTTTGTATTGGTTCTTCAGAATGAATTCTTCGTACAAGATTCTCCATTAAAGGTCTTCTTTTAAAGTAAATTTTCATATTTTGTCACTCAAAAATGCATCTGTTTCTTTAGGATAAAAAGATATCTTTGTTTAGTAATTTAGGCCTTTATTTAACAATGTACTGTTTATACATTTATGTAAGTTTGAGATTATTTGACACTTGTATTAATGTTAATGTAGCTGAACTTCAGTAAATATTTGACACACACACACACACACACACACACACACACACACACACGTGTGTGTGTCTGTATATATATCTTGTTTTATTCCAAATCTATGTTATGTTTTTACGTATTGTTAATTATCTAACAGTGGTGACACTGTGTACCAGCATAACATGTTTTTCACCATTGTGCATGTACTTCTACATCATAAACATTTGTATATAGTATTTTTTTTTTCAGTTTGCATTATTAACTCTTGGTACACAATAACATTAAAATTACATGATTTATGCATTGTAATCAGGACTTTAATAATTTATCTGTAGACTTTCTCAAATACATTATTATTATTATTAAATCTAATTGCATGATTACAATCTCTAGTCTAAGTACATACCATTAATTACTTGTATTTGTTATACATAATTTCTGTATTTTACACTTTCATCTGGAATGTAGTCAAAATGATTTGTAAATCATAATCAATAAACTAAATTTTTCTTGTGTGATATAAATGTTTAGTTTTTTACTTTTTACAGATCATTTGATGAACAGTTATCCATAGCTATGGATAAACTTTTTGTTTTATTTGGTTGTGAAATCTTGAAGATAATTCCTGGAAGGGTTTCTACTGAAGTAGATGCAAGGTAAGTGTGATTTAATGTGTTTACAGAGGGGCTGGTATTATGAAAGTATTTATCAGAAGTAATAAACTTCATTATAATCAGAGTATTAAAAAAATGGATATTTTGAATCAAGTAGGTCTTGCCTCTGAAATACCAAAAGCCTTTCCTTTTAAGTTTGAACTGGTAAGCAAAATACAATTTAAAAAAAAATTTGAAATTTTCTTTACACGTTGTAGAGCATGTGGTACTTGGTCACAATTTTTTTTTTTCCACTCTCACCTTCCATGTGACATAGTGAGTAAGTGTTGGGGAAGGGAGGATCTTGAAAAAAGCTTTAATTTCTAACCATGATGTACATTTTCTTGTAGGCAGTTGTGCTATTACCTTTATTATGGCAATCTTTCTGATGCACATGTTTCTACTACTATTGGAATTTATTTACACAACTTTCCTGTAGCAAGAAGGGTAAAATTGGCAATGCATTGTCAGCTCTGTTTCTGCTTGATTTGAAAAAAATACTTGCAAAAGTTGCATTTGTCTGCTACAGTGCTAGCCCTAATCATCACACTTCTACTGGTTTAATTTCGTTTTCTCTCGGGTATGTCTTTATTTCCATTACACTTGAGTTTGTATGTGTCATTGGAAATTTCTGTATTTAAACCTTTTATTCCCCAATCTTCTCTTGACACTAAAGTTGCAGATGTTTTTCAAAACTAGCTTTTGTTTCTAAAGTTTTTGACCCCCCCTTTTTTTTCTTCTGCTCAACATATGATTTGCCTTGTTTTGTGACATTCCTTTTCTACATGTCTATTTTAATCAGGAGCACATCTGTTTTGATGTTATAATGTTTATTGCTATGTAACTGTTGTGTTTTTTGGCACTTTAGCTTTTTGAATATCGGTGATTAATAAAATCTAAGTACCTTGTAACACATCCAAATGGACTAAAGTACTTTGTGTTCTTATCATAAGTACATGCAAAGTGGGTCTTAATGATTTGCTCACCATTTCTATTCTGGATAGCTAATCAGGCTGGACTTTTATGAATCATCTCTGATTTTTGTTCGTCTTTTGAACCTTCTCTTCATGTTTTATGGGATCATTAAATTTCTTTTACTTCAATTTTTCTGTTCATTTAAACTAGACTTTGTTTCTATTTGATTTTGGACATAAATTTTCTATACAAAAGGAGTATATATGTTGTACTTGATGTCTCATCAGAATTTTATTCTTTGTGGTGCCAAAAACAACAGGAGATTGGAAAATGAACTTAGATTTTTCATTTCCTATTTATTACATAGATTTTTTTTTTCTAGGTGAAGCCTATGAGTATTTTTGTTTATTTACTAAGATTCTTGGATAACAGATTGTGATATTATAGGCACTTGTGTCCTGATTTGCCAATCTTCATTTACCACATGGAGTGATTTATCAGTTTATGACCATCTCTTTCTGGTCTGGAATTGGCATTGTTTTCTTCTACAAGACTCAATACTATTCATTGGGTGTTTTGCACTGAATTCACTTCCCAGTTACCTGTTCCTCTGGGATGGGTTTTTCATGAGTCCAAGTCTTCTTGTGCCTACTGATCTTATTCATTTGATATTATGTGTTCACACTCTTAGAATCCCTTTGCCCATTTCCTTTGCTTTGTAATCATGCAAGTTTTGGATCCTTCTGTCACATACATTCTCTCTGTTATGGGTATGATCTTTTATTTATATGGCAATTCCAATGGTTCATGTTAATTATCATGCCACCACTGACCTTGCTTTGATTTTAAAAAATAATTAAAACTTCAGTCACCATATTTGAAACACAAATGGCACGATGACTGTGATACCTTTTTTAAATTGATTTTTGACATTTTATGATTAATAATAGTAATAAATATGTAGCAATTTACTGTTCCATTGTGCATAATCCCAATAATCACTGATCTGAAAACCAGTTTTTGTACATGTTCTGTAGTAGGCCTAATGACATTATGTACTAGGCTACTTTATCGAAAGAAGTATTGTAATAAAAAATCATTAAAACTAATATAAACATTATTTGTCTATCTTAGAAAAACTTGTCCTCCTTTTACTAATTTACATACATGTGTTCATAACAGACCTTGTGATATTTAATTTTGCCTAAGGGCAAAATACGATACTTGTGTTCAAAATAGCCTTGGGTGATAAAACTTGCGAGTTCTTATAAACAGAAAACCAACTACCAAGACAATTACTTGGAAAACCTCAAAGTTGATTTTATTACTTCTCTGTGGCTTACAAATAATAGAAAACCATTACTAACTTAAGACGAGCCTCAAATGTACTAAGAAATTTAAAAATTTTACTTCTTTAGTAAAGAAGGTAATTCTATGGCAAATAGTTTGCAAGAAAGGATGATCCCAAGTTTCAGAAGATACACTTAAATTTTTGTTAGCTCCAAAAACTTTATATCGTAAAATAAAACATGGACAGTTGAATTTTGGAGTTCTTGACATTGCCAACTTAAAGTTCTCTTTTCAAAGTATTTGATCTACAAAAATAAGCCTTGGATGAATACAGCTAAGTTACCAGATTTGTTTAGTTTTATCCACAGACCAGTTGTTCCTGCTTAGGTGAGAAACTTTGACTTCCATCCTGTCAATAATTAACTACAACAAGGTGCGGGGGATTGAAAGATTAGGCTAGGAGTTTAAATGTTTTTGGATGGGAAAAAAAAAATGTTAATAAACCTTTTGTTAGAAGAAAATTTAAAATCTCAACATGTACATCATAATTTTTCTTTTGAGGGTAATTTGGAAGATGGATCAATTTTTCAAAACTTGATGTTATTTTGCCTCGCAATAACCCGAAACCCTGGGTACAAAAATGGTTGGAATGCTATCAATGAGATCTTGTCCCTTTGTGGAGTCTTATCTTTTGACCTATTTATTGGAATTTCTCTTGTTTACCGTCAAATGTGGCTCCTTTGCAGGTTTGTGCCAAGCCAATAGTGCAGTTGTCCTATGTATGCTGCATTTGTGGCAGCAGTTCTGGGTTTCATCTCCTTAAGTATGGGATGCTTTGAGTCCATCTTGGGAGATTTTTTTTCTATGGTTACCCTCTTCTTCTTTCTTGGTATTGGCCAAGATCAGTTGGTCTCATTGTCCAGTTGTAATTGCCTCACGCTGGCCTACTGCATAGTTTTCACTCATCTATCTTGGAGGGATATTTATTCTATTACTTTTTACATTTTCAACAAGAATTTTTGTCTTCTGTAACTTCATAGTTAGCTGTTATGTAGTCCTCTGTTAGTGAAGCTGGTTCCTTTTCTTGGGTAACTCATATGTTGTATTTTAGCAATCTCCTCCCTGACAACGTACCAATCTTGTTCATCTATCCTGGTGCCTGGCTGCTTGTTACTATATTGCAAGAATAAAATTTGAGGGAATCGACTTTAATGATTATTCTCATCTTGTTCTATCCATATTGATTGCTTTATGCAGCTTATCAGTCTTGTTTAATTCTGTTTCCATTTACCTTAAGCATAAATTTGAAGTTACATCTCATCACATTTGGCCATGTCTTTAGCTTCCTGGTCTCTGTACAGTTTAGTGGACATTTTACACATGAGTTATAGGATCAAATCTGAATTATTTTATTTTATCCTCATCACATCACTTTTTCTCCATTTTCAAGAATCCACATATTGCCTTTGGTTATTCCATATGCTCAATGCAAGCTGTCCCTTATGAGTTATATATTCTGCCAAACATCCCATTGTTAACTATTTTCAGGATAGTGAGAACTACGAATAATTTTGACTAATGTTGTATGCTACTTGACAAAAAAAAAATTACTACCCTTTATGCTAGGGCTCTATGAGAGAGTGTTGCCATCTGGAAGTAGACAGTATGATGCCTTAACAGGTAACTATTGTTTCTGTGTACTCATTCTTGCATCACATTAGATATTTGAAATAATATCCATCATTGCTACATGTCTTTTGATCCATTCAGGATGTGATCATCTGTCTTTATTCTTATTTATTTCTTTATAGTGATCCTGTTTCACTGTCTTCACGTTGTTGAGCCCATCCTTGGGAACTGCTTGAGTTTTTCATCAGTTCCTTTCTGAGTTTACTCAAGGTCCAGTCTTTTTATATCACTGGTTTTCTCCACTTGTTCTCCTTTGAATCCATTTCTGTCAGTTATTTTCTGATTCTACTCAAACTCATCTTGGCTACATATTTCTTGTACATATATTGGTTTCTTTCATGTTTGTTGGTTCCTACTTCCTTTATAGTTTGGGTATTCTGGCTTTTTTACATTTTAGAAGTAAGTCTATTTGATTTGAATTTTATATTTTTTTTCCCACCTGACTCCTCCACAACTAATTTTCATCATAAATACAACTTGAATAATATCTAAAATTATGACAGGAAAGCAAATTTTAATTGCATGTTTTGTTGACAGAGTGAGTTTAAACTCAACAATGAAAGGCTTTAACTATCTTGGATGTGCACGTTTGAAATTTAATTTTTAAAATGTTACATTCAGTACAATGTTTGCTGGAACTACCGACTTGTTTTATTTTGCAAAAAGTATCTCAATTCTGAAAATAATGCATATTCTTTCTTAAGTCCAAAATTTAATATCAAAATTTTTCAGAAAAAGTTTGCATTATTATTATTATTAACTTTATTATATTTTCTAAACTTCTATATTAAGATTATCATGCTTTTATGGAATTTGTATTGTATTGAGAAAAGTATGAAGTAAAAACACTTTAAAAACATTTCCAGGCTATCTTTTGACAAAGAAGGATCTATAGTTAAGGCCAAGAAAATTATTCAGCTCTATGAAGAAGAAGGAATTGGGAAAGAGAGGATTCTTATAAAGTTGGCTTCAACCTGGGAAGGAATACAGGCTGCCAAGTATGTCATCTGTAAGATAATAAGACTGGGGCAACCAATCTTGTGTTCATACCATAGGAATAATTTTCTCAAGCGACATGCTCTCTCCCTATTTTTTTTTTTCTTTCGCCAAGGCTTTTATACTCTTAAACCAAGGTTATACTGCTTGTTCATACATGCATTTATTTTACAACAGCTAAGCCTTATATATCCTAGATCTTTGTGTTTTATATATATATATGTTGTTACAAATCTATTTTGTTTTTTTAAACAGTTAATCATTAAAACAAGATTATTGTTTAAAATGAATCTTGTTCTTTCTTTCATAGGTGGTAATATGTATTTATTAATGCTTTTTTTTTAATTACAATAATTACTTAAATTTATACTGTTGTAAAAGGTATGGTATTACTTTGCATGAATGTAGTTAAAAGGTCTCATAATGTATTTGGTTTTGGCAGTGCATTCATCTGGAAATAGTTGTTTTTATGAATTTCTCCTGCCTGGAGATGTTCATTCTTGTGATAAAATGATGGGTTCTATTTTTTTGAACCCCCCTTTGTCATGGTTTAGGTTAGTGGTTCTCAATTTTTCGTTTGCAGACCATGTTGTGGACCACCTACTGGTCATACCACAACTGTTTTCACTTGCTACTTGGTAAAAACTCGTTAGAATTAATGGGAAGAATGGCATTGCTTTTCATGAGATGCCAAGGAGATATCTGATTCCAAGCTGGTGAGTTTCAATCTCATATTGGGTTCTATGTTCAACTGGTTCCTCTTCTTTGTTTTCAGCTCCACAATTGTTGAATTTTCAATCTGGAAATTCTGTGTTGGAAATGGCAACAGGTATTTTAGAGTTGCATCCAGGATACTTGAACCATACATGGAGCCAAAGGTCTATCAAACTTTTCTTATTGAATACCAGCTTCAGTTACCTGTCTGATGTAAGCTACACAAGATTATCCATATCTTTTGATGGAAACTTGATGTTGATCTCTTCAATGTGGCCATCTATGCATATGAATTTCTGATTTACTCAAATCCGTTTCTGTGAAATACTTCCCAAATTGCTTGTGGAGGCCCTGTAGGTGTGCTTTGAAGTTTTCAACAATCCGATCATCAATTTCTTTCTTGAACATAAGTAGGAAATTGGTAAGGGCTGTGAAATAGTCAAATTCTCAGCAGTCCCTGCCACAGCTCCATCTTTGCACATAAAACTTTTACTTTGTTCTGGACTCTAAAAAGTGGTGACAGCTTTCCATACAAGACAAGGTTCAGCTTGTTCAAGATGCTGAAAATATCTGCCAGGTATGCTAGTTGGGAAGCCATGAGGAATTATGCATTTGATTCAAAGCATCAAACCCATGACAGTCACTGTCATGCAGGTAGATTTTGACTTCCTCAAGCAGTTCAAAGAGGTGGGTGAGGACTTTGCTCGGCAACAACCAGCGGACTTCACTACGAGGAATAGTTTCATGTGTTCACTTCCCATATTTTCACAAAGGATCTTAAAAAGATTGCATTCATAGGGCATCCTTTGATAACGTTTACAGTTTTTACCACATTGTCCATAACTATTTTAAGGCTAGTAGGTGTCTTCTTCAGGATAAGTTGTTCATGATAAATACTACATTGCCTTTCTGCCACCATTGGTGCAACTGCTTGGATACATGCAGATAGGACCTCCATTCTGCCAGTCTTTGCTGAAGTGCTATCTGTAAAATACTGATGCATTGTTTCCACTCCACTGTATTTTTCACTAAAACAAATCGTTCACTATCTTAAATGGCTTCTCTTGTGTTGGTAGGCAGAGATCAGAAGAACAAAAATATATTTTTTTTCCTGTACTTCCCCTGAATATTCATACTCGACATATACCAAGAAGGTGAACATCACTCAATATGTTGGTGAACTTGTGAAGTTGGAACAAAAAAAGTACTGGCTCTGACACAGGTGCAACATATTTTTCAACCATAAATGCTATTTGATGCTGAATGGTATCATTCAAAAGGGGTACCGAGTAAATGGCTTTCTTGGCCTTTTCCCTAGGGTATGATGCTTGGTCAAGTTTTCTGCTCTAGTACGATCTTTCCCAGTCTTTGTTGACAGCAGTGATACCTTGTATGATGCCTCTGTAGCATTAGCATTTTTCCCAACAGTAGCAATAAAACGCGTAGTGTTCTTATCGTGAATCAGTTCTTTGCACTTGTTCTTAAAAAAATTCAGAGGCTTCAATGTATTCCGTGTGTTATCATTTCAAATGACGTTTATGCTTAGGGGGTTTCATTGCTTTATTACCCAAAGTTTTTCACAGCACAAAAAACACTGAGGGTTAGGATCATCTTTATTGCCCATCCCAAAAAATTCAATTTTCAGTGTTAAACTTCCTTTTTACTTTTTTTGGTTATATGGTTTTTCTTTCTTTCTTCACATTAATGTGCCTTTACTGCATTCTACACTGCACTTGTCACATTATTGACTTCAGAATCAGTGTTGTGATTGTAGTTCATAAATCACCTCACTTGCATTGTCATAATTATTTTGCACTTTGCTTGCATTTCAACTATCACAAGCCATGCTGGATTTATACTTAAGGTTACCAGAATTAAGCCAACAATCCATATTAACCCCTTTTAATGCTGAGTGTTTTGGAAACTTTAAAAAAAAAAAAAGTTACCATGCTGAAGTATTTTGTGAGTAGCAGTCAAAGCATTCCATTATTATTATTTTTTTGTTTTTTTAACTTCTGAAGCACTATCAAAACTGACTGGTAGTACTCATGACACAAACATAGCTTAGACAATTTATAGGAACTGTAGAGGTGCCACATGAGAGAAGTCTGGATAACTTTACACAACCTAATCAGTTATATATGGAAACTAAATATTTGACTGCATTTTTGCCACTAAATGTAATAAATTCTTGTTCAGTAATTTTTTTGTTCTTTATTAAATATCATAAGTAAATTATTAATTTTATTGCCAGAAACAAAAGTATAGACATTTTCATATTATAAACATTGATACTACAAGACAACACATTTATCTGAAATATCTGTTATAACATCACAATAATCTTCTAAGAAACTGATACTTATTTTAAATATGTATTAATTAAACAAAATCAATATCCTAAATCCTGTTTAAAAACTACATTGTTGTTGCTCATGCGTATGATGACTTTTGCCATACTGTGAGAGCCTGCATAGTTGTGACGTCGTGCGAGTGGTGGGGATGATGGTTCTGGCCTTTCGTATGGTCTTGCACTTCATTGACTTGCATTTTGGACCAGCCTGTAGACCACTGGCTTAGTTTGTTGTTAGCAATGTCACGTCTCTTATCTCGTTACAATATACATGTGTAGATATATTGGCAAAGTACTTTTATGAAACCTATTCACATTCAAATCATTATGTTTAATATATGTAATAATGCCTTTATTAGATAATCATTTGGCTGTTTTCTTATTATTTTATGGTTGAGTCTTGATTAACAAGTTTTCTACAATAATAAACATGCTTATGGTACGAAACGTGTCTTAAAGTATTTGTTGATGAAAACCCAATATTATATAAAAGTATACCAAATTTTGAGTTTGATTTTTTTAGAAATTCTCATTTGTACATAGTAGCTGTGTGTGTGTGTGTCTAAGAGTACTATTTAATTCTTTATTTTTTTCCTCTAGGGTATTGGAAGAAGAAGACAATATCCACTGTAATATGACACTTTTGTTTAATTTTGCACAGGTAGGTAAACATTTTTCTTATTATTCTAAATATATGGGGAGGGGGTGGAGAACTCAGCATTTCATAATATAACCAATATAGTCCAATAAGTAATAGATGTTGGTTAATTTAACGAGCAATACATACATCATCACTTGAACTTGTATTTAATTAAAACAAACTTAAGTTAGTTTTAAATGAATAATTACATACCTGCTGAGGTTACTGCAATAATGACTAACTTACACAGGTAATGAAACAAAGATCCCCAAATTACCATAAATTCAAATAAGGACTTTGAATTTATATAGGCTGTTTGTTGTGCTGATGCGGGTGTCACACTTATCTCCCCTTTTGTGGGACGTATTCTTGATTGGTATGTACAAAACACCGACAAAAAATCTTACGAACCTGAAGAAGACCCTGGGGTACTGAGTGTGAGAAAGATCTACAATTACTACAAGAAGTATGACTATAAGACCGTGGTGATGGGAGCATCTTTCCGTAACATTGGGGAGGTCAAAGCTCTATCTGGTTGTGATTTACTAACAATCAGGTATGTTTTAATATTATTGTAATTTTTGTTGTTGTTGTTAAATCTGTAACTTGAACTTGTAGTGCAATTATTTTGTGGAAGAGTAGGCATTAAGCAATACATTACCATCACGTTTTATTATTCAATACAGTTATAAACATACCTGATGTCATCACTTGCATTATATTGGCTTTAGTTGTTAGGATTTAATCAATCCAGTTATATTCCCAAAGAGAATCTGTTGTTGCTGTATTGTCTCACAGTACCATTATAATAGTGTTAGTAGTAGATACTAGAATAATCTCGTGCAGGATACTGAAATAGAGGTCTTCCTATGCATTTAGATCTATTAACAATTTTCTACTTTACTGAATTTGTATCTTCTGAAAATAATAATCAAATGGCTGACAAACTTTGAAAAATACATTGATAATTGTGATTCAAGTTCATGTTGTTATGATCTTTAATGTTCAAAACTCACTAAAAGTTACTTTTTACCATAAAGATTACCTATGGTGTGTGTGTGTGTGTGTATTTTTTTTTTAGCATCCATCATCTAAAGTTAGCTCAATTACTGTAACATTTTTATGTTAAACCTGGAAACTTTCCTACTGTTTATATGGAGTATTTTTGCCCAAAAATGGTGATAAAATTTCTGAAATGGAACATATCTCCACTTTTTTGTTTAAGATCTAAGTACTTAATCAATTAAATTAACTTCCACAAAGCACAGTTAGCACCTAATGAGGTCATTAGGGACTTAAGAAAGCTAGTCATATTAAAAGGCTAAGAACTGGATGAACAATGACTGTGTAATTTAGTTAAAAGCTCCGATTTGTATAATTGCATTGTTACAAGTGAAGTAACTTATTTTGCATTAACTTCTTCCCTTCTTTGTTATAGGAAGTTTTAAACCATTGATAACAGTAAGTTGCATCTCTGTCTGTTAGCTAGATATTTGAAAACATGACTTGTGAACAACTTAACTTACTTGATACAGTTATATGATTGGGCCATAGGTAAATCTCCAGGTATTTAGGGTTGCCAAACATAACCACCAACAATTTTTATTTTCCTAGAATGTGTATGGTTAATTATTAAATATGACTAATACAACAAAAAAAGTTATCTTAATTTTTTTTATTTTTTTTCATGTACCATCAAACATTCAAATTTTGTACAAAAATAAAACTTCTAGTAAATAACTAAAAATTTTAATAATATAACCACACCACCTATTCTAATATTGAAACTTCAATTGTCGTTGAATTTAGTGGATTGATGTAGCATATGAAAAACTTTTTTTTTCTCTCCCTATCTTTAGAAGCCTAATGTTGTATACATATAAAAAATGCTTCTAGAAGTTCTAATTATGCTATTTCCTTTTTTTCCTTTCTGTTTTAGTCCAAAACTTCTTGGTGAACTTGCTGAATCAACTGAAGAAGTTCATGCACACCTCACTGAACAGTCTGGTAAGTAAAATATATTCTGTCTGAAATGTGAACTCAAAAATGTTCTAATTTATTTATTTTTTTGTATTAGTTCCTCTCATAACTTTAATTTATATGGTTTATATTGAGTTCTATTTAAAACTAAATGAAATAGAACAGAAGGGAGAACCTAACTTGCAGCAGAGAAATGCTTTGTTATTGAAGTGTACGGATGTAATAACTCAAGTTGTGACCATTATAGCAGAAATATATCCAAAACTTAATGTGACTACTATCCTTTGTAACTTTCTCTTCCCAGAAATCATCGGACAAAGTTAAAGTAACCTGTAACTAATTATTATTATATAACATTGAGAAAATATTAGACTATACCAAAGCCATTACTTCATTACCTTTCCAGGAATTACAATCAAGTCTTAATAATTATAAATAGATACATTTGTATTTTCTCTTGTTTCACAATAAGCAGTGAACTTTTATGGGTTTGTTGTAGATGGCAGAAATTCTGTTGTTGCTTTTTGATATCTAGGAGCATTTCAGTAGAGTGCACAACATAGAAATAATTTCTATAATTTGATGCAATTAATTATTAATAATCACTTTTTCTTTTTTTTTTAAAGCTAAAAAGGAAGACCTTGAAAAAGTAGAAATTGATGAGAAGACATTCCGTTGGGAACTCAATGAAGATCAAATGGCTAATGATAAGTTGTCGGAAGGTATTCGCAAGTTTGCTGCAGATGCCAGAAAACTAGAAAACATTTTGAGAGAACGGCTGAAATAAGTAGACAGGAAAGATCATTAAAGTAAAAGTAAATTAAGCTTTTCAGCATAGTATCTGCTTATTAAAAGAACACGTACCCAGTGAGGTTGTATAACTAAAAATAAATATTTTTATTAATGTTGGCTTCTTTAAGTTTTATTTTGTGAAAATGTTACTTGTTTGAAAAAAAAAACATTTGTTTTCTTGTGTAATTTTTTTTATACTTTGAAGTACGAAACTCTCTTATCAGTCATTCATTTACCTAAAATAGTTCAAAGATGCTGCAAGATAAAATTATACTGTTATTCCATGCTTTAAGTAGAATGGGCTATACACAACCACTAGATAAATATAAATAATAATAATAAAAAAAGCTTGAAATATTACTTAATGATGTAAAAGGTGATGGATTTAATAAAAAATACAAAATATGAAAATATGCATATTTTTTCTGTCATTGGACTTTGACAATAAAATATTACTTTTAAAATGTTGCAGACTTTCTCTTTGAATGAAACTGTTCCACGTAAGGTCACAGTTATGGAGAACTACTATACAAAGTTAACATTGCTGTATTCCCCCCCCTTAATTCCTAACATCATTCACTCGTACAGTATTTTCATCAGTTCTTGAATATAAAATGCTAGTACATTGTACATTAGTATCCAACATAACTCAAGAACATTACTATACTTAATGAGATTATTATTCAAAATGGAAAATGTGTATTAGCATTTATAGTTTCATGTAAATTAGTTTACATGCACAAAGTTCAATAAACTAAAGGCTAATGCAAAATATAAAAGGTAATATAGTATGTTTTTTGTATGAAAGTTCTCATTTTATTATGTTGGTGAAAATAATAATTAATACACATCATGAGGTTATTATGAATTTCAAATAAATATTAAAGAAGCACTTCAATCATTTCTTAGCCTGAAAATCTTTTTTGGTTTAGATTTTGGAATCAGTGGCAAACATATAGGTGAAGCAGCTAACCTGGGAGCATTTTTGACCCAGTTCATTTAGGCCTACTTGCAAAATACATAGAATTTAACTTTCTGGGACCCAATGGCCTACTTGATATATAGTTGAAACTCTTAAAAAGACCCACTTGTGAACAGTGCTGGCACAATAATCATTGAAGGCCCACCCACACACCTTCTCTGTAATATTATACAATAATTGTGGCTATGGAGATGGGAATATTCTTGCCCCCAGAACCTTTTTATTGCCCTACATTTGCAAATGTTTCAATGTTTGAACAGTTTGAGAGGTTTTGGCCATGGTTCACAGGTGTAATGTCTACTTAGATCAGTCCTACCACATTTTCAAACAAAGAAATGTGAAATAAAAATATAAAGCAATAGTGTAATATCATAATTTATCAACTTGTATCAAGAAATAGCTTTATGCTTTCATTAAATTTTGGTGTGATCACAATTTCATTAGATATACTAATACTACATGCCAAATTCAAATTTTGTTATTAAGAAACATTGCATTAATAAATGTATTCCTTTGAATTATGTTTAAAATAACTCTTTATCACTACTGTAATATTATAACAGTAACAACAGAACATACAATTAATGGATTGTTCATGACCTACAATATATTCAAGTATCTTCATTTTAAATTGTGGAAAAATGTTATGAATAGTGTGTCAGTCTAGCATGGTTTCTGATGAGTCTGTGTATTGATTTATGGGAGGTTATTGTATTTTCACATAATGGTATTTCTTTGTTCACAAGTTGGACTCTTACCATAAAAAGATTTCTGTCTAAAAGACTCTTTTCAAAATTCATTTGGAGATCTGGTTGTGGTCACTGGGAGGGCTGAAACAGCATGCTGGGGAGAGTTCCAGACATGATTAATTGGATTCATGTCTGAAGATGGAGTGATCTTCTCTATGTGGACAGTAGATTTCCTCTATGATCCAAAAGCAGTGTGGGTGTAAATTGTCATTCACAAGGATGAATCCACAAATGTTGCTGGTCTATGACTCCACGTACACTTTCAGGATCTTTTTCTTATAATTCCTCACAGCTGTCAAAGAGCCATCTTAGAACATTTGGTAATTTATATTACCATTGATGCTCCATGTACACTTTCAGGATCTTTTTCTTATAATTTCTCACAGCTGTCAAAGAGCCATCCTAGTACATGTGGTGATTTATATTACCATTGATGCTGTTCCAGACCACAACAATAATTGTGTTCAGTTCTGCTGGTGTTGGGATAGCACTTCCTAGGACATCTCCACTTTCAGGCTTGTTAGTTGGTGAAGTTGACACAAAAACTGAGCTAGTTCCTAAAAATCATTGCAGTTCAGTGTTGGATTGTCAAAGTAAGTGATCTTGATCTGAAACTCTACAATCTAGGTTGTAGTGGGTTAAATGGATTGTAATATAGGCTTTCAGTAAACACAAACCAGATCTCCAAATGCATTTTGGAAAGTGGTAGGGGTCTGTGACATGTGATTGGGAGTAAGTGAAAAATAACTGGAAGACTTCTAACCCATCACTTGAATCAAAAGCCTTCCTTTGTAAGACAAACAATATTTGTTTATTAATAATTGGTGATCCATAGTAAATGTTTAGTATTTATGAATGTGATATAAGTGAAAGGGATCATTTAAAGTGCTTTAAAAGGAGCCTCCAAGAAAGATATGTAAAGTAGGATACTGCAGTACATGGATATGCCTTGCATTTCTATGTCTCTGTTCGTTAGTTAATTTTCTGTAAAAATTATTTCCAAAGAAACTTTAGCGATACAAGTCCCTTCTGAAATAAAACTGGTTTATTCTTTCTGAATACAACTTTGCAATACACTTAATTTCCACAGTCACGCTATAAAAAATGCTATAATTCACAACGAACGTCTCACGTGCTCGACTCAACTGTCAATTACACATTGTTGACGTCACTTCGTGGCGGCTTATATATATATACAAGACTACCGCATATCTAGTAGCCTCTTGAGACTTCAGAAAGTGATGTGAACGTTCGAGAATATAACGTGTTACTAGCATCACGTGACCCCCTCTGTCATAACACTGCCCCTTCCTTAGTATTGTTCATCCCAAACAATAGCCACTTACATTAAACTAATAAACAATTAACAATAACTTAATTAAATGTACATAATTTACAAACACAAAATTAAAATCCAACAAAGTCTCTTCATTTTACAGGACGTATCTTCTTCCGTACTGGTCTCCGTCTCGTTGGCTTCTGCTTCATGTGGGGTTCATCTGCTTCATCAGGAAATGGCCTACCATCGGTAACAGTCACATCAGTGGTAGTAACTTCATCAAGAGCTTCGCTGTTTCCCTTCTCAAAACCGAGTAGAGTTCCTTCTTCGACAGTGGCTTTTTCAGGTGACACGTATTCAGCAGCGTCCTTTGTTCCGTTGTTCACTTCATCCCAACTGAAATGTCCTGGACCGTGATAACGCCAAAGCCTGTTGGCATGCACCACCTTTGGCTTACCTCGCCGACCACATTTTATCCGGAAAGTCCCGTCTGAGAGACGATCCACTATGTCATATGGGCCTTCCCATGGAGAAGACAACTTAGGAGACTTCCCTTTGATCTTCCTGGGATTATACAACCATACCTTGTCTCCTGGTACAAAGCTGACCTCAGTAGATCTCTTAGAATAAGTCAACTTCATCGAATCAGCAGGCGTTTTCAAGTTTGAATGCACTTGATGGTGGATATCATCCATCCTTTCCGATAACACTTTCACAAACTCTGACACATTCTCAGGCAACTCTTCATAAGGTGGGCGTCCTGTTAACAGATCCACTGGCAACCGATATTCCCGACCAAACATCAACTTTGCTGGAGTGTATCCAGTGGTTTCATGCTCTGCTGTCCTATAGGCCATCAACAGTGGAGGGAGTAAGACGTCCCAGTCATCTTGACGGCTATTACAAAACTTTGCCAATTCCTGTCCCAATGTCCAGTTGTACTTTTCTACCATCCCATCAGACTGTGGGTGATATGGCGTTGTCCTGGTCTTTCGGATG